CTGTTATCAGGCTCCAAGTGTTCCCTTTCCTGGTAACTCTCACAAGGCTTTGGGGAATTCAGAGCTTGAAGCAGCCTGGATCCTCTTGAGATTTCATCACTCTTTCTCTCTGTGGGATTACAGAGCTGGACAAGAGATGAGATAGAGCATAACTCTTGAAGAAGCTCCATAGGAAAGCACTTGCAGTTGCAGTTTTCATTCATCCCTTCAGCCTGAAGCCAAAAAATGTTTCCTTATCTTCCTATTTGCTCTTGTACAGTTGCTCATTCCACACGTTCCTTCTAACATTACTGTGCCTTCATCATCTCCCTTTGTGTCCATATCCTCCAGCCTCTGCATATCTTCTCTCTCCAGTTGGCTGCTCCTCTTGAATGCCTTTTCCCTCTTGTGATCTGTTCTTTGCCCTTCTGCGGATTCTTCTTTCTCCCTCTTGCCAGAATTACTGAACATGACCCTGCTTTAAAATAATCAGAAATAATGGGAGATGTTTGTTTAGGTTACCTCACTTCTCTCTGTATAGAATATAAAAAATGGTGGCGATTTTTAGCTCAAGACAGTCTGTTTTCACACAGTGACTGGCAAAACCTGAAAAATTGGTCTCTTCTGGTTGTCTGGACACCATGGAAAAATATCCTCACAGAAGATCAGGAGAATCTCAATAATACTTTGCTTGGCCTCTTGACAGAAGTAGCACTTACTGTGGCATGGAGAACTGAGAACCTAGCTGAAATAAATCCTCTGATTTATACTTGTCAGCAAAGCTGTAGGGAGACATTTTGGAGCTCAAATTGCCCTTGAATGCTTTGCTGCCATCATCTTCTACTCAATTTGGAGCAAATGGGTAAAGTATGCCACAGCTTGACTGTAAGGCTTGGACCTACCTTCTTTTCTTGCCCCCTTTTAGACCTCTTCTGCCCCAACATTGCCATGACCCTGACTGTGGCCAATTCTCAATTAGTTTGAGGCACAGAAAGTCAGAACTAGCTCTTGTATGAGGAGCATGTTTAATATACAATATTTTATGAACCATTTGGGGTAGGCATAAATGTTCCACCTAATGGAAGCGCTGGGAATTCTCTTTTCAGTAAGATACACTACTTCAGTAGAGATTGCAATATAACCCCATAACAATATAGAATGAAGACTTAAAAAAATGTTTTTTTCATTTAATTTATAGCGTTTTCTAAAATGCCTTCTTTTTTTTCCTCCCTTAGAGATGTGTGTAGAAACTGACTAATGATTCAGAGACAGAGCTGTGAAATATTGCATCAATACGATTTTTTTGGTGCTTTTTTCCCTAAATCAAAAAGCATTTCTGAAACATTACCTATAAAATATGAGGCAAAATTACCTAACCAAACACATTTGCTTGGGACATGCTGAGTAACTCATAGAACTGATAACAGTGATTAATGTGGTCTGCAAACTCCTGCTGACACAGAGTCACATAAACATGTGATAGGTTGGCCTTTCACTCAGCTCCAGGTATTTGTGAATTCACATGCAAAAAGTGTAAATACTTCTGGCTGAAGTAGAGTAGCAACACTAATAATGTTTACATTTTAAGCTATTTTCTTAATGGTCCTTTTAATCAAGTTTTTTTTTGTAAATTATTTTACAATTTTTTTATTTCTTTTCACTTTTGGTACCAAAAGACAAGAAGGGTACATGTCCTAATGTAAAACTAATTTCATTCCTTGCCATTTTCTTTGGGATTTTTTATTTGCTCAAGTGTTACAACTTTTCCATTTTTCATTTAGTGTCATTTTTTTCTTCACCTGTTTTGGCACATTTCAGACCTAAGTGTTTTTCTTCCTTCCCTGACTATTAATGGTACATGTGTTTTGGACATTTGTCTTCCATACTCTCAGGTTTGTGCAGAGGTAAATAATTAATTTCCCTTTTATTGTCAATTTTCTTATTTCCTTAAATATTTTTTCTTTTCCTTTTCTGACAACAAATCTTTTTTGCCATCCTTTCAGAAACCAACTAACTATCTTTTGTGTTGTATGTATTTGCAATATGCTATTCTTTAACTACTTGTTTTCTTCAAAGAATATAGCTGTTCTGAAAATGGAATAATTTCCCATTTTGTCTGAAAACACTGTCCTTGAAGTTTTTTTGGTGACTTCTGTGGTTGCTATCCTTTCCCATTGCAGTCTGCCATGTAGTTTTGCCATTTTCCACTCTGTGGAAGAAAGAGTGATTTTCGTGCAAGACAATGAATAATGTTATCTTTGAGAGATGCTGGAAGATTGTGCAGAGCTCTTTTCAACTAATCTCTTTTCATTTAAGACTAGCTTTCTGGGCAAACATCTATTAGAAAGTGCTTGGAGGAAATCCCATGGGGATTTCAGGTTTTGCTTATTGAAATCCCCGTTACTAGCTTTTTGGGTACACGCTTTTGAATGGGAAAGTTGGTTGCATGATCCAGGTGGAAATTTATTGTCTTTTTCCCTCTCCCTCAATCCCTTCTGGTTTCATGATTAAGGTTTTTGAAAATACTGCACGTCTGTCTCCTTGTGTGGAGTTTAGTTGCTGGGTTATTCAGCATAGCCCTGAGAATGATCCACTGTTCTAAGGAGAGGTGATGTAAAAATGAGAATCCTCAAGTCTTCAGATGAATTTTGTGGATTTGACCTCCAGATGAACACATGTTCATCTCCCTTGTACCTCCCTTTTGCCCTGCCAGAGAAAAACCTGATAAGAATTACCTCTGCACCAAAGTCCTTTTATCTCTAGAGACCAGACAATCCCCATTTTGGTTGAAAGACTTGGGGATCTTGAAGGCAAAGGTGTTATTACAGAGTCTAAATGGAATGATGGTCATGTTAAATGCCGTTCTCTCAGACAATGATTTGACTTTTTATAGTTCAGTGAGCCAAGGAATCTAGGACAAGGTTATTTTCTTAAGGTACTTAAGGGAAGGCCTTGAGTTAGGAGAGTCATCACGGTGGCTTTCAAGGAACACATTACATTTTCCTCTTAGAATACGGTGGTGATCTATATCTCAATCAAATGTCTATGATGAGATGCAACAATGATAATATCAGGTAAGAGACACAGAACCTTTTGTCCCTTAGAGAGCTCAGAAAAATGGGAAATGTGAAGTGCATTGATTATTTGAAAAAGTACATGCATTCAGATGCATTTTGTTCCTGCGCTCAACCACTCCATGTTCTTAGGGCTGAATTTGCCAAAAAACCCTGTCTCGGCAAAAGGGTTCCGTAATGAGATACGTACACATAGATTGTCCAAGATTTACCATACTGCCAGCAAATATTGGGTGTCCTTAGTTGGTTTCAATGGAACATACTACAACAGATGCATTATATTTAATAATCCACAAAGAAAAGGAAATTAAGAAAAGAAAATTATTATTTCCGTGCTAAGTATGAAGATGGGACTTTTTTCAAGATGTGTGAGATGTTTATGATAAGAATCCAACCAATGAACTCTGTGGTATTTCCAACACTGGTACTTTCAAAGGACAAGTAACATAGATCTTTTGGTGGGGTGGGGAGGTTCCTGCAGGACTGATGCTCAGGTACGCAAGCTGCTATGTCCATCAGGAAATTTCTCTCCTAAGATGCAGCCAGCACTACCAGTCTGGAGTATCATTGTGGTGTTCCATAGACTTCCCCATTTCTGCCTCTTCATTTCAAACTGTAAGAACGGCTTTAATTTCTGGTGCTCTGGTCAGTGTCCTGTCAGTAGACATCTAAGGCCTGGATGAGCTGACACCTCCCCTCCAGTTAACCATTTGCAGTGGTATGGTATGCCTCAGAATTTTGTTCCCAGGGTAAACTCTTTCCTTGGCTCTTATAGTGATGAGAAAGTAACTGGAAAACTAACTTCCAGAGTACTCAATGCTGACTTTTTATGCAGGTGGACTCCAGATTTCTCCAAGTCTTGGGTTTTTATCCATTCTTTTTCCTCTTTCTCAATGGTTCTGTGAATGGTTCAGTGCTTCACTAGGGCTGTTTATTTAACAGTGCCTAGCAATGTAGATCAATTTGCATGATCAGTTGTATTATCAAGTTCACATCCTTTTATGAAGAATTAAGAGGCAATCCAAAACAGCAGAAGTATTTTTCCCTCTTTTATATTGTAGTTATTTATTATGTTGGATGTGAACATGTTAATATAGGACCATCTGTCTTTCCTAGATAGATGGAGAGAGCGGGAGGTGATTTGGAGTAACCTGTACTTTTAATTTTTGGGCTGTTTTCAGCTTGGAGGGAAGGGAGAGAGGAATGTGTGTCACTGGGAAATTGTTTTTTTTCTGTATGTACCTGTCTTCATTTTACTAGTTAGCTGATACTGAAAGACCCACATTAGAAACCTCGAAGACCCCTAGTTATTACTTACACTTGGGAGAAAAAAATTACTCAAACTAAATAGTATAAAATCTTTGCAAAATTGAATATCATTGTAACCATTAATCTTGTTAGCTACGAGTATGTGCTTTTTTAATGTGGATGTGAAGTTTCAGCTATAATTCTACTTGCATGTGCCCAAGGATGGGGAGTAACATTAATCCCACTGTTTCTGTTAATCTTTTACTCCTTTCCTGGTTCACCATGTTTGTTGTTGATTCAGAGCCTGAGATTTTTGCTAGATGTGTGTTATAATGCTAATTACTGGAGGGTACTATCATTGACTGTAGAAATAGAAGTAATATGTTGTTGTAATGTATTGAGTTCAGATTCACTCCTGACCTTTGCAGAAGTGAAGGAACTTCAGATCCAGGGCCAGTCTCTGTTTCCTTTCCTTTCCCCAAATGGTGTAGCGTGTAAGTATTTGTTATTAAAAGGGAAAGGAAAACAAATTGACAATAATGGGAGAGTGAAAACTTCACTAAAAGAACTGTATAGGGAATGGTGGGTCAGCTCAGAAACCTGCTCTCAGAAACAAAATTGAATGCAGTTCAGTGGTTGTGCCACACAGTGTCACAATTGGACTTCACTTCCTTCCTCTCTGTATCTTCCTCATGGTAGGTGAAGATATTTACAAAGCCAGCGAAGAGCGGGAAAAAAAAATGCAGGAAGATGAAGATACTCGTGTAGAAGTTCCGCTGGACCAGGTATTGATCGAGCTTTAAATAAATGGCTTTTTTTAGGATTAGGTTGTGTGTTGTTTTTCTTTCCCCAGTTTCTTTCAAGTATTTCTTTCAAGCATAATTCTGTGGTGATGATTATAACAGCTTAATGATATGGCTTCCATTATGGGCGCTTTAGCAAATCTTCCTTTCTCTGTTAATAAGTCAAATATCAGTTACCTTTTCATCATACATCAACTTGAGAACTGCTCTGAGAGCCCTTATAGGGCCTTAGAGAATCAGGACTCCCTACCTACCAAATAGATCCACCTGGATCTCAGTCCCTTTATATTGGTAGAGCAATTAGGGATTATGTAAAGGGATTATGGCACAGAATCAAGGTCAGAATTCTTGCAGCCCTGAACCACAAACAGATGTGGATTTATCTGATTTTTATTAAAGCTGCCAGCACTTTCTTCTTCTGTTGGAACAACAGGGTACTTTTTTTTGGCCAACTTTTTCATTGTAAGACTTACATGCAATAAATAGGTCTTGATAAGTAAACATAAGATTATATCCTCTTTGTTTTACCTTGATTTGTTTTTAAAAGAAACTCTTGTGAACTGAAATAATACAGGAAATAGGTAAGTTGAAGATTATTCCAATGAAGTGAAGAGTAAACGGCTTAAATTATTTGCTGAAAACTTAACTTTTTTTTTTCTACTAGTGAATTGCTCACAGGACAGTCCTCTTTTTCATTTTACATGTTTGTAGGAATTTGCCAATTTGTTCAACTTCGTGTCCAGTCCACAAGATGTTGCACTGTGCTTTTGGTGTCTGTTGATAATGGCTTGGGGCCAGCCACCTAGGCCACGAGATAGTATTTCTGATCCATGCTGCAGTGTAAGGAATCGCAGTTTACCAATAGATTTTTCAGGCTAAAAATCATCCCAACAACATAAGGGATTCCTGAGCAGTTTTCTAACTTCCTGGTGGTCAGCTCAGTGCTGAGGAACAATTGTTAATGAGAGATTGTAAACAAATGGGAGGGAGTGAGTTAAAAATAGTTGTTTGTAAATACACTTTGACTACCCAGGGCACAAACAATCTGGGAGATTTCTGGAGTGTGTTGGAGACAATTTTTTGATGTAGGTAGTGGATACATGATTAGGAGAGTCATTCTGCTGGATTTGCTACTCATGGATAAAGAGAAGCTGGTTGGGGATGTGATACTCAGTGGCAGCCTTAGTTGTAGTGGCCATGAGACAACAGGGTTTAAGACTCTGAAGGAAGTGGGGATGGCAAATAACAAAATGAAAATCCTGGAATTCAGGAGAGTGCACTTTGGCTTGTTTGGGAAACTGGCAGGCAGGGTCCTGTGCGAGATTGCCCTGAAGTGCAGAGGAACACAGGAGATCTGGTTCATCTCCAAGGGCATCTTCCTCAAAGCACAAGAAAACAAGCAGCCATAGCAGGAGGCCAGTTTGAACAGAGGACTCCTGACCTCATACTAAAAGAGGTAGAGTGTGGTAGGTAGAAGAGGGGATGGACTACTAAGGAGCAGTATAGAGACATTGCCTGGGCTCACAGGGATGAAATTTGGAATGCCAAAGCTTGTGAAGAAATGGATACTGATACTTGTGATTGGGAATAGCCAACATGGATTTCCTATGGGCAAATCATACTTACCCAACCTCTTTGCCTCAGTGATGAAATAATGGCTCTGTGGATGAACGGAGAACAGTTATTGTAATTTATCTTGCTTTCAGCGTAGACTTCCATATTTGTAGGAGAAATTGGAAGAAGTGTGGTAGATATGGGGACGAAGATATCCTTAAGGAGGGTAGGGACTGGATTTGTGGGCTACAAGGTGGATGAAAAACTGCCTGGTTCGATGGGACTTAAAAGGTCAGTTGGTTGAAATTTAACTGGCACTTATTTATGGATAGTGGGTTTGATACTGGGTCTGATACTTTTTAACATGTTCGTCGGTAACATGGATGATGGCACAGGATGCAGCCTTATCCAGGCTCAGTAGTAAAGCCAAACTGTGGTGATTATCAGGTGATATGCAGGGCTGCTTTTCAGAGCAATCTCAACAGTTTGAAGGCATGAGCTGAGTCGAGCCTCATGAAGTTCAACAAAGAGAAATATGAAGTGGGGTACCTGGGACAGGGTAACTTGCATTGGTAGAGTCGGCGTGGGTAGGCTAAGGAGCAACTCTGCAGGAGAGGCCATGCAGCTCTTGTGGCTAGCAAGTTGAGGATGAGTCAGCAGTGCTCCCTTTTCGCGACGAAGGTTGACTGTGCAGACTGGCCTGCATTTGTAAGAGCACAGCCAGCACATCAAGGGAACATTATCTCCCTTGACTTGGCACTTCTGAGGTTGCATCTAGAATATTTTGTCCAGTTTTGAGTCCTTCCTAGTACAAGCGAGGTATTTACAAACAGGAGAGGGTCCAGCACAGCAACACACTAAAACATTTAGGGGGCTAGAGCCTATGACACAAGGAGAAGCTTAGGGAACTAGGTTTGTTTCACCTTAAAGGCTAAGCAAGAGAAGGCAGATCAAATTGCTCTCTTCAGCTACAGATGGAGTTACAGAGAAGACGGAGCCAGCCTTTTCTCTGTGTTGCACAGCGAAAGGATGAGACAATGGTCAGAATTTGTAGCAAGGAAAATACTAACTGGACATAAGAAAAACATTTTCAACAGTGAGAACTGTAAGCACTTTCCTGTCCAGAGAGAGTGGGGAATCTTCGTCTTCAGTGATTTTTAAAACTAAACTGGACAGGGCCTGAAACAGCCTATTTTTACTTCGAAGTTGGTCCAGCAGGGCACTGGCCTAGATAATCTCTAGAGCAGTTGTCTCCGAAGTGGAGTGTGCATAGCCCAGGGTGTATGAAAGACAATCCATTGGGGTGCAGGAAGAAAATGTTAGAACTTCAGTAGTACATGTATATAATTTATAAATAAGTAAATATACATATATTGCGGGTACGTGCTCGAAAATTTTTTACTGATAAGGGAGTGCAATCAAAACAGTTTGGAGACCACTGCTCTACAGTCTCTTCCAATCTATTTTTTCTGTGATTCTGTGGTTGTTCATCTTTGATTATTTCAGTCCTATAATCAACTTTTTTTTTTTTAGCAAAGTTTGGTTTTCTGTGCTTACTATTTAACTGGCTGATTTTTTTCAGTTTATTTGAATTGGGTAAAAGAATACTAGACATATATATTTTTCTTGTCTTCTGCCTTTAAAAAATGCCTGAGGGGAAAATAGACAGAAGTTTTATGAGCTTATACTTTGTTTTAATTTCTGCCTGCAATACCAATCTGTACATTAACAAAAGCCACATCTGAAGTTGCTGCTGTAGCCATTTTGAAGAATGGCACCATATCCATCTGAAAAAAAAATCTGGATCTCTCCATTTTCTTTTAGGCTGCTGTTTCTAAGAAGGATCATTTTCAGTGATTTATTCACTTTAACGGGAAAGAACTATTTTATAGACATTGTTCTTGAAGACGCATGAATCAGGTGATTGAAAGAGGCAAGAGCATGACTGTCCTGGTCCCTGATTATATGGAATACTACAGCTGTGTCTTTTCACAGCAAATACCTGCCCCGGCCTCAGAGACTTATGTGCTAAACACCATTGGGCTCATCAGCCCTATTAATTGCAGTTGTCCTTGTGAGGTGTTGTGATAATTAGGATGTGTTGGGTTGTACTGATAGTACTGACATTGGGGAAGAACATGCGGCCTGTCGTCTTAATCTTTGTTTCTTATGACATCCTGAAGTATATCCTGCCCTGGTCTTGACAGCCTAATAATCAAATTGAGAAATGATTAGCCTGTTTATTGGCCTCTGAAGGTGCATAAAGAATTCCTCTGGGTAGTGTAAAGCATTTGACAGTGTAAATTGGGTTGTCAGGTCTTAGTTTTTAGGTTGACTGCAATTCATATGAAATCCAAGAGCCCTGGAGACAGCAGCCTTACTTCCCCACAGAGATGCTACAGGCAACAGCTCTGCCAGTGGGTCTCACCAGTTTGCCTCAGCCAGAAGATGGTGACTGTCACTAGGGAGGGGAGAATAGTTAACTCTCCACTGCCACTTGGTACTTGACAGTGGTAGCTGTGGTTGTTGATACAGTTGCCAGTGAGCTTCGGTTGTGCTGGCAAGCTTGCAATGCTAGGAGCTCGCTTGATACCTCTAAGGTCATGTACTAAGGCCCATGCATCATCCTCAGATGGAAATATTTTTCAGTTGCTACCAACTGATTCTGCTACCTGGACAAGGAACTGGAAGCAGGTGTGTTGGGGGGGGGAAATCAGTAATGCACACTATTAATAATCAGATTTTCATATTTTCAGAAAAACCAAACAAAGCACCAAAATGTATTGCAACTCAAGCCATGGTTCATTTCTCATTTTAAAACTTCATGTATAGTTTCCTAGGTAATCTGGCAAGAAGCCAGGTCCTTCTGAGTAGCACTGAGCACTTTTTATTCCCAGATAACTGAGGTTACTCAGACCTTGGAAGCATTTAGCATTTTGCGTGTTCAGGTTCTTATTAATGACCATTTTAAATTGTTTTAAAATCTGTGATGTAAAGCTTTATAGCTTTTTCTTATCTGAACTGCAGTTTCTGTTATTGCTAGAAATATGGAAAAGGACAGCCAGCCAGGGCTTGACTATCTTGCATAATGCATAAATATTTACATGCCAGCTTTCACTAGAATGCTGACACTTCTGATATGCTATCATTTCCATCAGCCACATAAATGAGGTGGTGAAGATAGAGCTTAGTCTCTTTTCTTTTTATGCACCTTCTCTGTCTTGCCATTTGAAGTACACGGTTGAACAAATGCCAGATTAGCCATTAACTAAACTAGTGTAATACTGGCTAGAAACCCGCTTATGTCCTATTCTGTAAAATGCTGTCTGCCAGCTAAGAACACATTAAAAGAACAGGATTCACTTTACTCCAGACTAGCTGACAGTTGTAATTGAACATCAAGGAGGAAAAATCAGTATTTTGCCTAA